TATAGTATTTACTCTTAAAAAATATTGCCATATAAGTGTACTTGTGCAGTTCTAGGGCCAACTGTATAAAATTGATCAAGAAACAAGTACACCCATGGAGAGGTCCAAAGGAAGTAAAAACAGAAACTCTTAAAAGAGATTGGACTCGGGGAATAGGATTGGGATTGAGAAAAGGATAACATTGTCTATTGTTGATTTTCATTCTAAGCCGTTTGGTATTTGAAGGTTTTCTTTATTATTTGACAAAAATTTAAAAGATTTTACTGAAAAGAGCAAATGTATGATTTAGAATATGCCTTTCATAGTCATCTATAGATGACTATCAAGAGGTGTTAATGTTGTGGACAAGAAAGGGAAACTGGGACATTTTCTTAGTCTATATCTACTGCTGTTGCTCGTCATGTGAAATTGTAGTAAAAGAGCATTAACTGAGCAACTAATATGTTCAAGGCCTTGTCCTGAGTCCTGTAGGAGCTGAAAGGTGGATGCAGGAGGTGCCGAGCCTCCATCATGTTGCAGTGCAGTCAGAGGTGCTAGAATGAGGAGGAAATCCAGATGGGGAGGCCTAGGGACTCAGACTTGTCTGTGTCTACATGGTGCTACACACTTTACCTAATTTTTTATGGAAAACATGTACTGTAAAAAAGATAAAGTATAGATAACTGCATGGGTTTAGTGAGTGGGAAATGGTATTTACTTGTTAGGATCAGGAAACGGCTTGAGATGTAGAACATTCAGGATGGGTCCTAAAAGTGGAAGGAATTTCTATAGACAGGAATGGGATGGGAGAGACATCAACATACTTGCTAATTGAGAAGCTCATATTTGAAGCTTTGAGGGGGAGTTCCTTTAGCATATAAGAATTGAGCTAAATTCCCCAAACTGCTGCTGCGGCTGCTAAGTCACATCAGACGTGTCTGACTCTGTGCGACCCCATAGACGGCAGCCCACCGGGCTCCCCCATCTCTGGGATTCTCCAGGCAAGAACACTGGAGTGGGTTGCCATTTCCTTCTCCAGTGCATGAAAGTGAAAAATGAAAGTGAAGTCGCTCAGTTGTGTCTGACTCTTGGCGACCCCATGGACTGCAGCCTACCAGGCTCCTCCGTCCATGGGGTTTTCCAGGCAAGAGTACTGGAGTGGGGTGCCATTGCCTTCTCCGAATTCCCCGTAAGCTAGGTACAAATCTAAAATGAGTTTTTAAGATGTTTCCTCAGCTGAAGATGTTTTATTAAATGTGTTATCAAGGTTGCTTTTTATTGAAATTGATTTCCACTTCACTCATACTACAGATCACAGTTAAGATTTTAATATAATCACTCCTGTCAATTCAGTGTGAGAAAAGATAAAGGCAAATTTGAAGATCACATGAATTTTGTAGCTACTTTTGATGTTTAGAATTTGTTTAGTAGGTTCTCCACAACTTCAGGGTAACTTTTTAGCTTCCCTCTAGAAGGTAACATGTTTACTTTTCTTGGGATTGACTTAGTTACGTGTCAGTTACTGAGCCCTTCAGTTTGGAACTGCAACATCTTCACCCTCTTGCCTGGTTTTCTCAGAGTTGTGTTTGGACTCAAAGTCAGAGACATCCATGACCATAGGAAGGAGTCCAGTTCTCAACTTGTAGAAATCCACCAGTGCTACAAGATTAACAATAAATAATTAAATATCAGAAGTCCAAAGTAGACACACAACTTGCTGTATATTGAAGTTATTCAGTCTGTTTCACTTGGGCAGTATGTGCTAAAGATGAAGATTGTCACCTTGAAGGATTCATTTGAAAATATCCTTGTACAGTGATCACTCTCCATTTAGGAAAGCTTACAAAAGTTCTTATTTTACAGCATTCCCTATTACATCATCTTAGACTTTAGTGCGTGACTTACTGCCAGAAATTCCACAGCATTATATTTTAAGAAAGTGTATTTTGTATTTCTTTGAGAGCAAAGGAATAAAAAGGCCTTGTATTTTAGGGATTCTAAATGCAATCCTAATGTTTACTATGAAGAGAGTGTTGCATCTTTTAATTTAGAGCTATCTGACTTATACAGGTTAAGAATTGTACTCATTTAGAAAATCTCTTATTAAATTAGTCCCTTAATGGTTTAACATCCATAGTTTGTCTTGAATTCTGAATTTTAAATGCTGAATATCCTTTGCTGCCACAATCTGAATTTTAAATAACTTTAAAACTAAAATATGCTGCTTATTGTGAAAAACATAGGAAAGATAATGAATAAAACCAAAAATACCCATCATTTCTCAGCTCTGAGAGCTTCTATACCCAATGGAGTATTTCTTCCTTTTTCTAATCAGATAAAAAAGTGTGGTTTTTAGTATGCTTGAGACATCTATGTATTTATCTGTATGCTTGTATCTACTTTTTTCTTTTCCATGTTTTTAATATTCTTTAAAGACAGACTTTGATCTGAATGCCTTTTTATGTTGCTTCTTTTGTGACATCCTATGCTCCTACCTGTCCTCTAACAAAAATTTATTAAAAATTATGGAATTTTAGTTATGAAAAATTATAATTATTTAATTTATTTAATAGTCACAACTACTACTTGATGAGTTTATGAACTCCTCTGACAGATACCAAGTAAATAAATTGGGCTTATGTTTATCAGTCTACCTTTAGAAGTCATTTGCTTCTTAGGTTATGTAATGACTTTGGTCCTGGTCCAGAGTCCTGAATATTGGTATATCCTGAACTATTGGAATTCAATAAAAAGTGGTAAATGTTCTCATTTCTAGCAGCCTGCATTTGTGACTGCTTGGATATGAGTAGTTTTAAAGACTAGTTAAGAACATGAGTTGGTATTATGTTTTTACAACTTAGTAACATTTTTGGGTAAATTACTATTTCTCACTGCATCTCCTTTTCAAGGTTAGAGTTAAAACTAAGTGAGATAACAAAGTAAGTGGCACAGAGTCTGGCTGAAAAGTAGTATTGAATATTCTTTTTTTTTTCTTTCTGTCGATGTCATTGTGAGGTCTTTGGGTCTCTGGTTATTGAGCACAGTGATTAGCCTAAGCAGAGGTTGAAAAGCATCAGAACTTTATCCTCCCCATTCAAGGTAGCTGACCATGGGAGGGAAGGAAGCAGATAGTGCATTCAAATTCTAGACCAGCAGGAAGACATCTTTGTTTTTTCTATCGAGAGGCTTAATCTCACAGGTAGCTTCAGACTTTGTAATGAGGCGACTGCTCGCACGCACTTAAAAATTCACCGCTATGTCTGCGTTGCTGGACTATCACTTAAATGCATGCTGGTCCCAAATAATTGACTTATGGATTCCTTCTCATTCCTCAATAGCTAGGCAGTTCCTGTAGAAACCTATAAGAACTACCTGTAGTTGCTTTAATAAATCTATAGTTTAATAAACCTGTAGTTGCTCTAATAAACATAATGGATGATAAGAGTAATGGCCAATGCAGGAACGTCCACATAGCATTGAAGACCCAGCACTGCCAAAAGTAAACATATAAATAAAATTCTAAAAAGAAAAGAGTAGTGGCTTCCATTTACTGAGTGCTGTGTGACAACTAAGAACTCTTCATGCTTTACCTCATTTAGTCTTCATTGCTGTTCATGCACCTGTTACTGTCACCCCTGTTTCATCAATGAGAACCTGAGGTCTAGAGAGATTCAGTGTTTCCTGAATAAGAATGTGAATGCTGGTTTGTGGCCTTTGTTTCGTAAGTACCGCATAACCTTGTTAATGCGTTCCATCTACTTTAGTTGTAATAGACACTGTTCTAAGTGATGGATTACAGCATGCAGACAAAAGTTCCTGCTCTCCTAAAACTCACCTTTCTATTATAGTTAGCTGCTCAGTCGTGTCTGACTCTTTGCAACCCCGTGGACTGTAGCCCACCAGGGCCCTCTGTCTATGGAATTCTCCAGGCACAAATACTGGAGTGGGTTGCCATTTCCTTCTCCAGGGATCTTCCCAACCCAGGGACTGAACCTGGGTCTCCTGCATTCCGGGGCTATTCTTTACCATCTGAGCCACCAGGGAAGCCCGCTATAGTTACTTGTGTCCATTTCCCTCCCAGAATGAATACTGTTATAAGATAGTAACTGTGTCTTATTCTTTTTGAGTTTTAGGGATATAATTAAAGTTTTAATTCAAAGCTGAGACTAATTACTGGGCCTGTGAAAGAATTATTTCTACAAAAATTTTGGAAGCTAGAGTGTGCCCCATTCTGTTTATCAGGCTCTCTGTTTATTTTAGCACTAATGTTTAGCCCTACCAGACTCATCCAATTCTTACCATTTATTTTAAGAAGCATTTAGAGGTTTATTATTGTTAACAGTAAAGCTACTTTTTGATATCTTGGTTTCTTTGACTTCCTTCAGGGATCTATAGGTGTGCAAAGCAACATAAAAAACTACTTTCTTTAGAACACACCAAAAATACCTCTGGCAAACCTAGTTCAAGAGCCTTAACTACTTCATAGAACAAATTATAAAATTCTGGTATAATTGAAAAGTAAATGATAATAGCAGGGTAAGTCCAACTGTGAAAAAATTGATATCTTTTTTCTGTGATATCAGGAATATTGAATCCTGTCTTTTGGATAAATTACTATCATTTTAAGAAAAATGGTCTCACAAATTGTTAGTGTGGAATGTTCTGTTTTAACCATGTAGAAGCTGAGAATAATTTTAAGTGTCCTTGGGTGGAGGTCAGCATGCTATATTCCCCATCTAGAAATCATCCATAAATTCTATGAAGTAGGTGGTATTTTAATAAAGTAATTGCCTTATTTTTGCCTTGGAAATACAATTAAACTTTTTTGGTCCCATAAGAGGCAAATGGCTGATAATGTTGCTCATTTTTAAGAAGTCATTTGTCCAAGTGGGAGGATCCATTGGCAAACCAGCTGGCTGTTGGCTGTTCATTTAGATTTTGACATTACTTCTCCTTGGGACCCTGATGCTGGACTGTCTGATAACCAGTGCAAACTCCAAGAATATCTTTCGTTTCTCTAGAAGGAGGTGTGGATTTGCAAAGCTACCAGCTGGATATGCAAATACTACCTGACGGGCCAAGGAGTGATGTGGACTTTTCAGAGATTCTTAATGCAATACAAGAAAGTAAGTTTCACTCCAATTTTAAATTCACCATGAAAGGAGAAACCATTATAATACTTGGGAGGGATAATAAAACTAGAAACCTTAGATGCCAAGCTTTAAAATAAAATCATGTCTTAAAAGAGATACTACGTAAAATAATTTTGAGACCAGAAGAGATGATTAGTGAAATGCCAATGTGATTTGTGAAACTGAGCTGCATAGTACTGGGGTCTTTGATGAAGCCTGATAGGAAAACTAGAGGGATTATAAAATCTTAGTATGCTATAATATTTAGTAAATCACTGGGCCTTATAATTTTTTAGATTCCTTGATTAATCATAATCAAAGAAAAATATTTAAGACACCAGAATAATAGTCCTTCTCTCAAGTATCAGTAGTAGGAAGTGTGTTGATGCAGTAAACCAGAATCAGGAATTTATTCTTCAAAATGGGTCTATGAAGTCATCGATGCAGTGCTGTGACCAAGAAGTGAATTCCTCTTTTCTAAGCATTTTGATTAATCAGGGTGTACTCTTCTTTCTCTGTTTTGTGTTACATAGTTTTCATCAAGAACTTTATCATAATCAATGCATTTGCTCAAGTTACAGATTTAGCATTGAGGGTGGGGGATGTGGTATCACAAACTAACTCATTAGCATTTGTGTTTCACTATCAGAGCTCTAATTCTTGGTAATTATGCTCCTCTTTCAATATCAAATAGTGTTATTTAATACTGGATTTGAAGGGTTCAGATCTGCGATTTTTGCTACTTTGAGTTTTGTGACATTGCATTTCTCTGCAATGAAATACAGATTTCTAAATTATATTTCTGTTTCTCTATTTTCTTATGAACAGTTTTATGCATTTTAATTATGTTTATCCTCTTTTGTCATTAAATTACCCCCAGATCTTATGAGATAATTAATATATCCACTTCACAAGAAGGACAGTTTAGGATGGAAGAAGGTCAGTGCCAATGTCAATAAGATAAATAGTAGAGACCAACTTAGAAAGGAGGGTTTCCACCTTCCTTTAATTCTTTCAGTAATGTGTTCAGTAAACACCGAGGTGGGAAGGGGCCTGGAATTGAAGATGAGACTACTTCCAAGAGAAATCTTTTAATGAAAACTTAAAAGGACCAAGTATTTGTTCTGGATGGGGAATCCCTTCATACTCGGTTGCTGAATAAAAGAGAAAAAATTTCCCCAGGAGAATAAAAATCAAATTAGTAGACATTGGAGAGAAATTGACTTTTCACGGAAAGTTATAAAGTTATGTAATTACTTCATTTGATTGAAAGATGATAGATTACACGTTGCTGAAAGGATTATTTTCTAATAAATTATGAACATTGGTTTCTGTGCAAGTGCAGGCAATGGACTTGAACTTTTTAGGGCTGAATGAGCTTCTGTCAAAGTGAACTAAGTGTTCATAAAACCATTTTTATAGTATTTTTTGTTAGCACATCTTAGTAGAAACTCACTTGTTTATGATGTTAACCATTTTATAGTTTAGAATGATGATCCCTCTGTGAACAGAAGAGTATAAGTTTGTGAGTACTTAATATTTAAATTTAAAAATAAGAAAAAAGAAATATTATTTCATTTTAACACAATTTTTATAGGTTTAAGAATCTTCCAATGTTTGAGAATTTAATCTTTATTTTCTTGTTTAAAAAGCAAAGTTTTATGCTAAGTAGGTTTGGGAAGCTTCCCACACAGTCTGGGGCATCTCTGGTGAGAAAGATTTGGGCCATTTATCTACCTTCAATCTCTAACTAGAGACTCCAAATATGATTCATATGTTTAACCAGGTCATTGAAATTTCTGAGTCTAAAATCACATAGTGTGGTTCTTCAAGGGACTGTGCCTTAGATGATTATTTATAGAAATCTTTGAGAGACTGACATATAAAAAATGTAAAAAATATAGGATTTGAACATCAGTAAAACTCATTGTCTACTACAAACATATTAATTGGGACTAACAGGATGATGGAAAGATTTCACTGTTTCTTAGGATTTTGTGGACATATTTGTATGATCTTCAAGATTGGGCTAGAACACTGTGTGTGTGTGTGTGTGTGTGTGTGTGTGTGTGTGTGCATACCCACAAGTTTCAAATATTTCTTCAATGTCTTAGCAGTCATCATAAGTGCTCTCCCTTGACTGTCTCTTGTCTTTATTAAAATGGTCATAAGTAATAGTAGATACTTTTGTCTTCATTTTAAAAGTGCATATACATCCTGAGACTGTATGATTATATGATAGAGTCAGTATTTCCTTGGGTGTCTGCCCTTGTTGTGCTAAATAAAAAGTGAAATAATAATGATTAGGAAAAAATGAACTACTTTGGATTTTTACAGTTTTATTCTTGTGTTACATCTTGATGCAAGAATTCCTTCACCATGCTTCTATGTTGTAAAATCCATTTGCAATTTTTCCTGTTGCTTATGCCCTAAATATAGCTTCATCTGTTCAAAACAAGATGTCTCAGAGTGGCTAACCATCCATAAGTTGTTTTTCAACTTCCCTCATATCAGATGTATGGCTTATAAGGAAGGAAAGACTTATTTTATCCATCCTTTCTTGTATCCATCTCACCTGTCATATGCTAGCCACTGTGCTAGGCAGAATACTTTAAAGCAGTGGTGAACCTTTTTGGTGCACAGTTCAAGTCAGGAAAAATTTTCTCTCATTCAAAATGAAAGCAACCTCGTTACTTTGTAGTAGGAGAGCATTTATATTTGGTGGTCTAATGTAAAGGGATATTTGTGTTTGAGTGTGTGTTTTCTCATTGATGTTGTTTTTCCCTCCCTTTTTACTCTCGCCATTCACTCCCCATCCCAACATAGCAGCCAGGTCCGTTGAGTGCCTTTGTTTCAACAGAGTTCTGTGTTACCTAAATTTCCTGCCTTTTGGTATCTGAAAGCCTGAGATTCTAAGTGCTTGAGGCTTAGATAGGAGGAGAGGGAAGGAGAGAGGAAGGGAGGGAGGAGGCAGAGAGAGGAGATGAGAATTTCCTAAGACCAGTTAGCTCCCTTGGAGTATCCTGCAGAGGTAGCATGGCTCCTTGCACGTGGGTGGGAAGACAGAGAATGCTGCGTTGTGTACCTTGGGCGACTGCACGTGGGCCGTCTGAACTGCCAGCCATGACTGAGAGTCTCCAGCCTGAGGAAGGAGCAGATCCTTCAGTGGTCAGGGAATTTGGAGGCTCTGGGAAAGCAGGAGTCTCATCGTCCCATTTCTTTGTCATATACCTGGTGCCTTGAGCAGAGTGTGGAGTGTGGGTATTGCTGTTCAGTTGCTAAGTCGTGTCCAACTCTCTGCAACCCCATGGACTGCAGCATCGCAGGCTCCTCTGTCCTTCCCTCTCTCTCCTGGGGTTGGCTCAAACTCATGTCCATTGAGTCGATGATGTTATCGGACTGTCTCATCTCTGCCTCCCCCTTGCTCAGTAAATTTTATTAACACCTTAGTGAATGAATTCCACTGTAGACTCACACAGGGGACAGCTCAGCAGTAGCCAGTGTGGCCTGGAGACCCGAGTCATCCCAGCAGATGTTCTGCCATCTGTAAAACCTCTGGAACCTTTGTGCGGTTCTGGATATCTGAGGGAGAGGCATGGGAATGTCAGCAGTGACTGAAATGAAACTGGCCACTGCAGACGGGTTCTTTGAACTCTCAGATGGGAAACCCGTGGATATAGAAGACCAACACTATACAGACTCTGGCGACTCTTGAGTGGCGTTCATACCCTGGCAGACTTGATTGTGACATAGTCCATTAGATTCTAATCAACTTGGGAGGGAAAGAGTTTGGAAGGAGAACTGGGAGGCTTTAAGGGTTATTGGGTGATTGTTATGCTGTGAAGTGAAGTGGAAGTCACTCAGTCATGTTGAACTCTTTGCAACCCCACAGACTATACAGCCCATGAAATTCTCCAGGCCAGAATACTGCAGTGGGTAGCCTTTCCCTTCTCCAGGGGATCTTCCCAACCAAGAGACTGAACCCAGGTCTCCCACATTGCAGGAGGATTCTTTACCAGCTGAGCCACCAGGGAGGCCCAGGAATACTGCAGTGGGCAGCCTATCCCTTCTCCAGCGGATCATCCCGACCCAGGAATCAAACCTGGGTCTCCTGCATCGCAGGCAGATTCTTTACAGCTGAGCTACCGGGAAGACCTTTATGCCTGCAGTGTCCCTATGCAATCATAAAGCTCTTCCCAGATTGGTGATGCTCTTGCTCTGTGGGTGAGGAGAGTCATTTCTCAGTGACATCCAGTGAGTCATTCTCAATCCACTTTCTTGCACCCTGCTTTACCATGGTATCTTTAATTCATATGGCCATGCTGTTGCAACGGGGAAGATGAGGGAGAGGAAGGAACTGATAGGCGTTAGACATCAAGTAAGGCAACGTGTGTTATTTTGTTTAGTCTTAAACTCTTTTTGCCCTAATTTCCATATCGGTGAAAGGGAGGTAGTTATAGACAACCTGCAAAGCCTTTAGTGCTTGGCACACAGAGAGCACTGTGGACTTACTGGTGGCCACCTTCTTCATTCCTTGCAGCAGTTCTCTCTGGTACATTGTATTATTCCCACTTAAATTAAAGCTTGAACAAGTTACAGAATCCAATCAAATAGCAAGTGGGAGGACTAGTGTTTGAACTCAGGTTTGTCTCAGTCCAAAACTCATGTTCTTTCCAGAGAAGGGGCAGTTATGGTCAGTAGACTTTAGGATTTTTAATGCAGACCATCACTGACCTTGTTTCTAGTTGTGAAAAGGGAACCACGGCTATTGAGCAAAGCGTGGATTAGGTACACAGTTCTTCTCTAAATAGCATGTGCAGAGTTAAAAGAGGTGCCATCATTAGACACTTGTTATCTAATGACCGAAGTGTCTGTCCGTTCTTTAGAATGGAGTGGCGGTGTGAAGAGCTCTTCGTGAGAAATGTGCTGTCTCGGGAGCGACTTAATGATCTGGGCCCCGTTACAGAGTGTGCCGTGGGTGCCCCATGCTGTTG